AAAATATGTTTAAAACCATCACATAAACATTTTCAAATATCTAAAAGGTTTTAAACTCAAACACGAAGGATTAAGGGAATTTTGGAAAAATCAGAACAGAGTCACGGTACCCCTAGCGGTACGCCACACGGTAGGGTATACCGCCTACACGGTACCCCCATACCGTGTAACGGTACCTAGGTACCGACGGTAGGCGTAGACGGTTGGCCGAACCCATCCTAACCAGGTACCGCCAGAGGCGAACCGAACTTTTGGAAGACACGGTGCCCCCAAACGGTAGGCTATACCGTGGTCACGGTACCTAGGTACCAGACGTTACAGACCCTACCGTGAAGGGTACCGGATCCGTTACAACACTGTAGCAAAATTGCCAATTTGAATTAAATCAACCCTAATCACCGCACAACGACTAAACCGACTAACAATATATTTTTCTTGTGTTTGTTCTCTCATTTTTCTGGTGTTCTCAATATTTTCCAGTATCTTATGCGCTTAAAATCCCAATAATTTGTAAGATTCTTGCTCCAAATTACTTTAGCCTTCTTGCAAAACACCTTGTTAGATGTACAGATATATTAGAGTTTGAAATAAGAGATAATAACATACGGAGTATATAACTAAAAAACTTGAGACTTACGAATGTCCCAATTGGCGCAAATTATATCCTACATCCGGTTGTACGGGAAGAAGCATACAGCCGAAAAAATTAGAATCAGAAAAGGAAGAGAACGGGTCGAAGCATGGCATTTAGCGATTGAAGAGGAAGAAGATGAGGCTCCGATGGCAGGTAGATCCGATCGGATTAGGAACAGAGATCCGAGCCGGCGTGGATCGTGGAAGAAGATGATGACAACGATCGATGATTGAGAGCAGAGATCCGATCCGCGCCGCGTAATTTTTGGGAGGGAGATCCGATCGACTGGGCTAACTAAGTTCTGGATCTGGGGAAATCGAGGAAGATCCGGCGAAGATGCATGAGGATAATGATGGTACTGAATTTTTCAATTCTGAAAGAATTGAACAATACTTTATTTGAGAATGAGTATATCCTTATTTGAGAATGAGATTTGATTCTTTTAAGAATGAACATTATGCTATTTATTACTCCGTATAATTATATTAAACAAATTTGTAAAAATGACTACTTTGTTATTCTAAAATGAGTACTACCTTATTTCAGAATGAGTACTACGTATTTCAAAGTAAAGTTTTATATTTGTATGAGAATGAGTACTACTTTTAATTCAGAATGAGTACTACCCAGATGTACCTATCTCTAGGTACATCCGGATGTACCATATATCTTCTCCCTAATTGGTACCAACAAGAGCAGCCTTTACTTCTTTTATGGGTGCACTAGTTTGCTCCTTTAGGAGCTTTATCAAGCTCATCTGGTCCATAATAGAAACATCATTAAGCTATTTGTACACAGAAATTTGTACCCTATTTTGTACCTAAAAGGCATGCACCGACATTTTGTGCTAGTGTGATGTTAGTGGGGTGATTTTCATTGGAAAAAAATGTCAGTACAAACTTTTTTAATTGAACTAACATTTACTACCCGTGTGATCCGTTAAAATATCGATACATTTCTTTCAGGTACATTTTTGGTGTACCTCTAGCATGGTTGTACCTGGATATGCATAAGTTTGCACTTCCACCAATCTCACTACCCAAGTTTCCTCGGCTTGTCAGGGTGGAGCAAAACTGTCTCAATTGCAAGGGGCCATTTAACCTCTTGCTCAGGATCTCGAAGGGACACTTTACGCCTCGAGGAAAGTCCATTCTCAGTACTAATAACTGTTGAACGCAATCTACAGAAAATGGTAAAAAAAATTATCAGCGCAGCCATAAAAAGATGGTAATTGGAACTGAAAAAGAGAGTGAATTTTTAAAAGCAATCAGTAATTCAAGGGGTATGAGGGTATGACTTGTAAGGACTAACCACTGGTATAGAAGGGGGTGGCTGACAACCACCCGGTGGTTGGCAGTTTAGAGACACATATCAAACTCTCATGTTGATATCTACTAAATTAAGCAGATTTCAATACTCTCTCATTCGGGAGGATTATGATAATATTTGGAGATGTCAAATCCGATTTTGGTTTATGTTTCACCAAACACAAAAAAAAGTTTTTAAATATCTGAATTTGTTTTTTACATATTAATTGGATCATTTTTTATGTAGTAGTACAATTATTCTTTTTGAATTTAAAATATTGATGATTCCCAAAGTGAATTTAGATCAACACAAAAGATTCTTTTATCAATTACTTTGGGAACATAGGTTAGTGTCATGAAAATTAATCAACCAAAACCTCTATAGATCAGAGTACTATTTATATTAAAAAGTGAAAGAAAAAATGGTAATAGTAATTATATCCTCCCATTCAAGTTATTTTTTAAATTCAAGTTTGGTTAAAGATGTTCAACCAAGAGAAATTTTTAGGGTTTCAATCATGCAATAATTTTAAAATTATAAGACTAATGATGTACTTTTGATAGTTTGAGAGAAAGCACGCACACTCGCATTTTCTAGAAAGTATAGGGACTATACCTATAATTGTGCATTCTTAAACATTCAGGGAGAATACATGCAATTAGGGCTGTTCATGTTTAGGTCCAGAACGAAAAAACGGACCGAACCGGACCGATAGGTCTAGACCGAACCCGGACCAAATAAATTTTGGGTCGGTCTTCGGTCCAGCTTTTTAAAATTTTCGGGTCGGACATGCGTATCTTGCAAACAAAGTGTGAACGATTGGAATTTTGTAGCCTGAAAGTTGAGTCATATAAATATCTGCATCTAATGTACCATGAAGAAGTGCATTACCAACATCGAGTTGATGAAAAGGCCAATCAAAATGAAGAGAAAGGGAGAGAACAAGATGTATAGTCTGTTGCTTGAAAACCATGTTGAACGTCTCCTTATAATCAATACTGTATTCCTGATGGTACCATTTGGCCTCTAGACGAGCCTTATACCATAAGACTGAGCCATACATCAGGATTCCGTTTTTTATACGATACACCCACTTACATCCAATAGGTACTCGGTTCTTTGGAGGAGGTACCAAATCCCATGTCGTTGTTCATTCAGAGCTGTAAACTCCGCATCCATAGCTTTGCACCAATAACTATTACTCGAGGCTTGGTTATAAGTATGAGGTTTAGAGGTTTGGTGTCTAGGGTGGTGGAAGTATAGGTTTTAGGTTTAAAGATTCTAGATTTTGATTGGGTATGTATAGGGTGGGAATTAGTTGTGGTGGATGGTGCAGAAGACGGTTGACAACCAGGTGGAGAACGGGTGATTGGATCGACCGCTTGTAGGGATTCAAAGAGGATAGTGGATGACGGTCGACCATGTGGGGAGAACGGTGCAGCGATTGGACCGTCTGTAGAGAGTCCGAGTGGGTAGTTGGAGACGGTCGTCCCCAAATAGTCTTCAAGAAGCAATAGTTACCAAGTTTAGACAATAAGTGTCTCATAGACATACATAGAAAAATTTAAACGAGCATTTAAGTAAAAGTGTTTGAAAACTATTGCAATAAAAGACTATCATGAATAGTATTCAAGGACCTTATACTAAAAAATACGGAGTACTTAAAGGAGATACTACTTGTTGTAATAAATGCGTAAATAATTAGGGTTAGTGTAATCTTGGGAGCTACGGAGTAATTAATTAGGAAGGAGTTTTACCAAAGGCTGCTTGAGTGGAAAGACAAAAGGAAAGCCGCAACTCCTAAAAAGCCTCGGATTAGGCTTTCATTCTCATACAAAGCCTAGAATTACACACTTATAAATAACATCTCTTCTACCAATACCTCTCATTCTCCTACCAATTCAAATTGGAAAGAAACCCATCATATCCATAGTCGTCATGGCAGAAGCCATCATGCCGCCACAAGAAAGTACTAAGACGAGTGATCCTCATCATCCGTTCTCTAATAATAACAATTATCGCCATGCCATGTTTGGCATTAGTACAAGTATCCATGATTCTTTACTCCCCCCAAAGAAACGTGGGCGGCGTTGTCTTGTTCTTCATCAGCCCGCGGAGGAGATGTTTCCGGGGAAGAAGCCGCGGCTGCAAGACTCGAGAATCATCGCTGCTGTATTGCTTGAGGAAAAGATAGAGGAGACGGACGTTGACGATCTCCAATTGCGCGAAGAAGGGGAGACCCGCGCGAGTTTTTCGTACGCCTTAAAAGCCAATTAAGTGGAATCAACTGAGGAATCAAAGAGAATGAGTTGAAAAACCAAATCAATTCATCCGAGTCGTCGTCTATCGTCTTTCTGGTTTTATTTTGTGTTTAATTTGTTAAGTTTTCAACAAATTCTACTTGTATTGTCTGGCAATTGATGAAGTGTATGGATATAGGTAGAGAGATATATATGATGGTTGCTCCTGATCATCATTCTATATTGTGAAAATCCTTGAATAATTTTTCTTGATCTGTTGGCTTCAGGTGTCATGCAATTAAATGCATGCTTCTATTATATAGTTATATATGTTTAATCTATTCAGTTCTTAGAGGGTGGTGTATTCTTACAAATTCCTTATGACGGAGCATGATTTATTACTTACTCGCTATCATTAAAAATTCCTTATTATATTACCGAGTATGATTTATTACTTCCCTTTTTTAAAATGTTTATCCACTTTCAATATTTTAAGCATCAAAATTGATAAATTTTAATTATTAATTAAATAAAATTTATATGAAATATTAATACTCTAGGAAGGAACGGAAGTAGTACTCCGTATTATTTAATTTGTTTAATAATTACGTGAAAAATTTTAAGACTTGTACCCCGTAGAATAAACTTCACTCTCATGTACTACTCCGTATTATCTGAGGGTAATTTACCTAAATAGGACTAAAATATAATGATTTTCTCAATGTAGGATCATATGTTTTTATTTCCCAATGTAGGACCATTGGTCATTATGTATTAGTCATTATTCAACTAAATATCCAGCATCATTTGGACATTATTCTTCTCACTAGTTATTATTAATTACTCCCTCCGTTTCTCAAAACGGTTTCTGTTTTGACTTTGGGAAAAAATAAGGAAAGTGTAATTTTAGTTGACTTTCCAATTTTGCCTCTGATGTGATAGGTAAAAGTAAGATGTGATAGTTTAGTTATTAGTGAAAAAGTATGATGTGATAGGTAGGATATGAAAAAGTAGAGGTAAAAGTGGTTTTTTAATAGAAAAAGGAAGTGTTTTAAGAAAAACAAAAAAAATGAAAGAGGAAGGGTTTTAAGAAACAGAGGGAGTACTATATAGAGAATAATAAGTTTTAAGTCATACATTGAAAAATGACTTAATTATGTTTTAGTCCTATTCGGTGCAATATTTATCTGACCAAAGTAAATAGAACGGAAGGAGTATTTATTTTTGTACTTATTTTTTTAAAACTAGTATAAACTTTATCAAAAAGTAACATAACTTTTTTTCTTATTGTTTATACGAGGGTCTTTGTAACATTAACGACTTAATGTCTTTTTGTATTACTCTATATTATTGTAAATTAATGGTGTAAGATTACCTCTTCAATTCCCTTAATGTATTAATGTAAAAGTTACATTTACAAAAACCCAAAGATTCACGATCATCCAAATAATATTTACAAAGGACCAAATGTTTTACAAAATTGCATTTACAAAAAAACCAACGATTCACCAAAGGACCAAATGTTTTAAAGAATGTGTAAAATCTCATCTATTTTAAAATAATTTTACTTACAAATTACATCGAGCGAAATCTTTCCTTAATACCTATGGGCGGATGATTCCAGCCGAATAAGCATTTAATTTTACCCATTTATTTCCCCTTAAATAGAGAAGGGAAAATTTAACACAAAACTCGTGCGGGCGAGGAATGAGGCAATTAAGAAAGTGGAGCACTGGAGCCCATATACACACGACGACCATTACCTTATTAATGAACGTCTTGAGGTCTGGAACTCTTCCTAAATATGGGCTATGAAACGTCGAAACCCTATTAGGATAGTCTCGAGAAGTTGTTCGAGAACCCGAAAGGTCAGGGAATCCCTTCAGTTGACAACCTGAAAGGTCTGCATGAACTCAACTGAATCAATTCAAGTTTAACATTGAATTAATTAATGTTAAACTTCTTTTTTGAATTAATTAATCTAGATACTAATAAGATTGATGTATTTATATAAAAATTACATTTATAAAAAAACCAACCACTCAAGACCAATCTCGTCTTTCGACTAATCTTAAGGACGAAATACGACTTTTTCAAATGAGACTATTGATATGAGAGCAGGCCGGCCTTTGATGTCATTTCAATCTCAATTGTTTTTTTATCTGATTTCCACATATCTTAATATGATTGAACTTTTGGATTTCAATTCTTTTGTCCTTAGATATGCACATGCATTAACTAATCACACCCTGAACTCTTAGTAGGAATAGTTAAATTCCAGAGCCCAAGAGTATATACCAATTTTTTGAATAACCCATTTTTTATTTTCGTGTTGTGGTTTGACAAATTATATAAATTTATTGAACGAAGTAAAATATAAAAGATCTACGTACAAAACATTTGTATTGATAAATACCTTTAGTATAATACTCTGTATTATTTTTTTAAGAATGTTTGCTAATAGTCGAAATATTCTTTGATCAAACGTTTAACACAAGAATTGAAGCGAAAAGAACGGTAGTGCAGGCGTATGCAAGAAGTATGAATTGGGCAAAGGACTTCTCCGTATTTATTATTACCAANCTCCTTTGTGATTGGAACTTGATACCTAGTGTTGAACAAAATTTCCAAAAAGGGAAATAAACTATACATCCAGCTATATAGATTTTCTCCATCTGTACATGGCAAAGCAACAAAAAAGATGAGCTTCACAGCAACCTGGGCAGCACCCCCAAAAAAAAAAAAAAACTCCTCAAATTTAGCATCCCTGGTATGATTATGTCCCGCTTGGCTTGTCCTCTGAAATATCGTATCACCAGATTACCATAATTTGAATGCCATATTCGTTCAAATTCGAAGCCGTCTTTTAATTGTCAAAAGTTAGCTTCAGATTGTATTGATACTGAATGGCTACTAGAATAAATGAATGAATGAATAATGATGATGGACGAGTGAAGAGCAACTCACGTATAGACATGGGATCCATATGTACATAGAAACTTGCAGCCACTATTAGATAGCATAGCAGAAGCATCAACCCTTTAAAGTAGTTTGATGTTCCTTCCTACAGAAAAAAAAATTAAAATTTACAGATTAGCTATAAAAGGGAAATGTGTAAGCACATAAATGTTTATTAGAACAAAACCCCAAAGTCATATATGGGAACGAGGAAATTGAGGAGCTAATAGTAAAATCCCAAAGAGTATGATCTGGGGAGGGTGTGTACGCATTCCCTTACCCCTACTCAGAGAGTAGAGGAGGTTGTTTCCATGAAACCCGGCTCAAAACACGGGCTAATAGTGAGTTTCGGCTATAAAAAATCAAAAACATAGTTCATTGTTTTTATGGAAATCACAAACCTGCAGCATGAAGGCTACCACTATGACACTCATAAACAGGGTGGCCGTTTCAAAAAGTTGAAAGTCCAGGTTCATTGGACGCCCCATTATCCACCCAACAACCACGCAGAAAGGGATCTGCAAAGTTAATTGCAACAACAAATACATTTCAATGACACATCATGTCACACGAAATGAAACCACTAAAGTAATTCATTTCAATGACTTTGGAAGGTAGACAAAGATATGTAATATTCTATGAATTGGAAGCAGGAAAGGGAGCCCTAACACTAAGCACAGCTCTCTACTTGGGTGTTAGGTCTCCTTTTCCCGCCATGATAACTAAGGATATTTCAAGCAAGCACAACAGTTAACCTATCTCGAGAGTCCTGCATCGCTAAAACTACCAATAGATATGATGTGTAAAAATCAATTTTTATTGAAATTAGAAAATTCTCTACTTACACCAAACATGGCTATCTGCGTAGAAGATCCAATTGCTACTCCCAAAGAGATGTCCTGCACCAATACTGAGCAAATAAGGGGTGCAATTTTTGTACCGTAAATCTTTTTTTTCACAAAAGTATGTGGCAGGATACTCACAAGCTTGTCTTTCACAGCAAACATGACAGCACCAGCATGCTCTGCCGCATTGCCAACAATTGGGAGTAGAATCACACTTATAAATGACACCGGAATGTTCATTGCCACAGATGCTCCCTAAATAACATCCATTCAAATTTATGTATAGCAACAACTAATCGGGAAAGACTTCATATAATGTAAAAATGTGTTAATTTAAAAATTAAAAAAACTGACGACATCATTCATGGAGAAAGGTAAGATTTGCCCATTTGGAGGTGAACTATTCCAATTTAAAAAGTTATGACCTTGTAGGTGATTTTCAATATTTAGTTACCTCAATGGCATTAACCAGGTATTCAGAGAGAAGAGCTATCCACGCTGTCAAAATAGAAAGCCATATGATTGACGACCACATCGATATCTCGGGAGCTTCGTCATCATCATCTAGGCAACCGTCATTTTGACTTCCTTCCTGAAAATGTGCATTTTCATAGAGTATAACAAGTTAGAAACGACAAGTAACAAACCAAGTTAGTGGCAATGCATAATCGGTTGCATAAATCTGTCTAGTGAAGGCGTACAAGGTATTGTTACTGCATGAAAACCCAATATTTTAAAGTTCAACAATATATTGACAACTCATAAAAATAACAGACCAGTAAAACCCCGCGAAGTGGGGTTTGGGTGTGTGTGTACACACACATTACCCCTACTTGGAAAGTAGAGAGGGTGTTTCGACTCAAAACACAGGAGCAAAACGACAAACGAAAGTAGCACAAACAAATTAAGAACAGCGATCAAAGAAGCACACATGCAGAAACTAAAAAACTTGAACCCAAAGCACACATGCAGAAGCTACAGGCTAAGGCATAAAAGCACACCTGGAACCTGCAGTAAGTACAAACTGCGACTAAAAGGTCTACCTGGCCATCCTAATCCTCAACCTCCAGCCGTTTCTATCTTAAGGTCATATCCTCAGTAAGATCTAGAAGTCGTAAGTCTGTCTAATCACCTCCTTCCAACTCATACAAGGTCTACCTCTACCCCTCCCCCACCCCCTACCGCAAGACTCTTGCACCTCCTCACTGGGTCATCAGTACTTCTCATTAAGTGGCCAAACTATCTCACAACTTCTCTTCCGCAGTGACCACTCTCATCCTTCCCCAAATAACCTCATTCCGGATCTTATCCATCCTTGATGGGTACACATCCACCTCAACATCCTTATTTTCCACTTCAAGCTAACGAGCTTGACTAATCTTCCTTGCTCAGCACTCTGTTCCTTACGGTATAGCCGATATGACCACTGGCCCATAAAACTTCCATTTTAGGTTTGTCAATATCCTATTATCAAAAAGGACGCTTGAAGCTAACTTCTACTTTGCCCAAGCTGCTCCAACTTGATGAACAACATCCCCATCTATCTCTCCATCAGCATGAATGACGGATCCAAGGTACCAAAACTTGTCCCTTTGAGTTAGTGGATGCAAATACATCCTCACTTCCATTCTCAACTTTGTCGTCTTACCTTTAAAGCAACATTCCACATACTCATACATAGTCCTGCTCAATTAGGAACCTCTAGACACCAAGGATTTACGCCATACCTTTGATATATCATTGAGTTTTTCACGTGTCTCATTAATCAAAACAATGTAGTCAGCAAATAATATACATTTTTTATTAATTGATGATAAATTGTTTCCAGCTTGACTTGGAACGGTTAAACTGGATGAATACTATGGGATGGAGGTAGTATCAGACAACTTGGTAATCCACACCAACCCATCGATGTCCACAATCTTCTAGGACTCCACTAAATCTCATATGGTCTCATGGCTCCCCCTTCTCATCCTGCAAATGACCCTCACCACCACCTCCTGTCTAATGTGACTAGTACCCAAAATCTTGATGACTCTTTTCCCTGGCTCACCAAGTAGCAGGTTCCCGTACTCTCCAGCATTCAAAAGCCTATGAAAGTATGACTGCAGCTGGTTTTTCACCTCCGCCTCGTCAAACAATACCCTGCCATCCCTGCCTTCAACGCATCTCACATGTCCCAATCTCGTGCCTCCCCCTCATGCACCTTAGCTAGCTGAAACAATCTGTTCCCTCCTCACTCTTTGAGTTCCCTATACAGACGTTAAAAAGTTGCATTCCTAGCGGCTGAAATTACCAACTTAGCTTCCTTACGAGCAATCTTATACTCCTCTCGTAACGGCCACCTACCCTCTTCATCTCTACACTTTATGAGCCTCTTATATGTCTCTATCTAGACCTTCCCTTTCTCTTGAACTTCTCCACTCCACAACCGATCCCCTCTACGCCGGCTCCCAACATCTCTAATGCAGTTCACAGTCTTACATCGCAATGATGCCGGCACATAGTCAACTAAATCGCGGTACGTTTCGGTACGCGTATGCGGTACGGGTACAAAATTCACTAGAAGTGACGAATTCGGTATGAAGGGGGGTAGGTTCATTTCGGTATGAAGCCGTATGGTGTACCATGTATTCGGGACGGTGTACCAAAAGTCAAAACATAAGTAAACAAGAATAGATAAGATGAGCATAAGTGCATAGCATTAAAAAATCCAATAGAAAAACAAAACATCATCTATATGTGTGTGTGTGTGTGTGTGTGTAAAATTATATATAAGAGTTAAAGATCATTAAACCACTCTCTCTAGCGAACTCCAAGAGTGAACCCCCCCTCCCTCGCATTCTTTCCCCCAAAACCAAACCCTACGTGCAGCTAGACCTGGCAATCATGTCAATCGGTTCCGGTTCGGATCTTTTCAGTTTAGGTCTCTTTCGGATATATGTATACTCGGTTCGGATCAGGTCGGTTCGGGTCAGTTTGGTTTTGGGTTAAATTTAGTTACCCAATACTCCATCCAACTCGGCACCAGCTTAATCACTAACTATCACTAACCCTTTGCATCTTGACCACAAACTCCAGAAGATTGTGACCAACAAATAAGCCAACCTAATTCTTGTTTCTTGAAGTGCAAAAGTACCACAACTTGTACCTATCCACATCATGCACCTTAGTACCCATGCATCTAGTCTCCTGCACACACGCAACATGAATACTCATCTTCTTAAGGACGTTCACCAAGTCTAGAGACTTTCCTGTCAAGGTAACTATGTTCCATGACCCAAACCTTAACCTAGGCCTCCTCCTAGCCCTCCTCGCTAGCCTCCTGCTCAACCAATTATACGACCTTACGTCACCATTACTAATGAAAGCCACCGATGAGACACGACGTTCACTCCTAGTTCAATAAATAGGATGAGAAATGAGAAAAATATTTAGCATAGCAAAGAAAACAAAAGAATTAGAACCTCACCTCTGTAATTGGCACATAGTGACTCTTTTCGCTTGTAAGTTGGAAGAAAAGATAGGCGGCATATGCTACAAGCATCACACAGCTACTAAACCTGGAAAGGGCCACCTCTGATTTTCCAAAGTGCAATTCAGTGTGGGTAAAATGGAGGACAGCAGGTAACATCAGCCCCATTACAGCCATCAAAAGCAGCCCAGAATTCATAACTGCAGTTCCCTAGCAAAAAAATATAAAAAACCAATTTACTTTTACACTGATAACAGTAACGTTAAACCATTGATTAAAAAGTAAAAGTGACACACTGTATGGATGGGTATACCTTGTTGAAAACCTGCTCTTTGTTAGAGTAAACAATTCCACCAGAAAAAAATGCACATCCGAGCACCAGTAACATGTTTGACAATATTGAGCCCAGAAGTGACTGCTGAACAACTCGCATCATCCCATTATTTAGTGCATACATTGATATTATTAATTCCGTAGCATTACCAAAGGTGGCATTTAATAGGCCTCCAACTACAAAATATCAAATGAAGCCATGGAAATCTATTAGTACTTCACATAAATAGAAAAAGGAACGCGCACAACATTAGCGTTGAATCCAGCCTAAACAATTCTTTCTAGAAGACATTGAAACCAAATTATGCTCAGAAAGTTTGGATTAGGCTATATTGTCCATGTTTATCAATGTATGTAGTTTGTTTTGAGGTTTGGTTTGGTGTAGTGAAAGTGTCCATACTGCACACTGTTGAAGCTTTTGTATTTAGTTACACTGACCCTTTGGTCAGGCTGTCAGTGGATCAAATCTTTGAAAACAGACTCCCACAGAAACAGTGGCAAGCTTGCACAAGTTTTTAGTTACCAAAACCCTGAATGTGCCAAATAAATATTGTTCGAGTCCCTATAGGCCCCATACCAAAATATGTGGCCAGGAACACAAGAAGTTTGAAGGCCTTGTATGAGTGGGGTTTATTGCAAACCTTTTGCGTCTTTTTTGTGTCCACTTATTGTCCAAAGTACCATTAACTACGCTGAAGGGTCTAGCTTGTGAATACCCTCATTAGGGGCACTGTCCTGATTATATTTGATTATCATGCGCCAAAACCTAGTTTGTTTCCTAGGAACATTCCTTAGTCTTGTAACATAAGCAATGTTGCTTTCAAAAAACATTCAGATATATCATCTTAGTCTTGAAAATTAGCTCTAATCTAAAATCGAGAAAGTAGACCAGAGAAGTGAAGAAGCACCTCGAATCAGTTTCAGCAAACACAACAACAACAACAAACACAGTAAAATCCCACTAAGTGGGTTCTAGGGAAGCTGGTGTATGCAGACATTTCCCTTACTAAAAAAGTAGAGAAGTTGTTTCCAAGAGACTCCCGGCTCAAAACAAAAGGAACGCTAAAAAACAAGGCAACGAAAAGGATGAAAAAAGGAAAGTTTCACGAAAGAACCAAGCTTACATGCAGAAGCATACTAATATTTAAAAAAACAAATACTGACATAGCTATGCATATAAAGAAAAACAAGAATAAGGAAATGAGATATTGGATTCAAAGCTGATATGCACAAACACAAACGTATTGAAAGTCATATTTTTCCTCCTCAATTTCGGATAAAGGGTACAACCTGTAGGACCAGTATAGAAAGCCATCTGCCTGCATAAAATATGGCCCAAAATTAGGGGATAGGTTGCTTAGATAATAAAGAATTATACAGCATGAATGTATCAGAGTATGAAAACAAGTTGAAATTTAATGCCAATGCTTTCCATGATATCAAGTCTGCTACCAAACTATGTTTCCTATCTATTTCCTCACAGAATGTAATGAATCATTAGCATTTCTTCAATTCTTCCTCTAATATGCTCTTCAGGAGAACCAGAAATTGTAAGAGATAAAAGCCTTCTACATAAACAATGATATCTTATTCATCATTAAAGGTTGAAACTATAAAAATTCCGAAACAACTCAAGAGTGCAAATAAGCAATGTGTTTGCTAACAATGTTTAGTTTTGGATTCAAGTATTCAAGAGAATGTAAATGCAACACATTTTAAGACTAAAGGTATTGTGAATTACTCTGTCGCCCAACCTAAACGCTCTGCAAGTGGTATGATGCCTAACAAACTCAGAAAGAAGATCCACCCCTGTAAAGAAGAGCACATACATAGACAGTAAGAAGACATTGCAGAGGAAAGAGAACAAGAACTGACAGAGGACCACAAGAACAAGAACTTACGTGGTGATCAGAAAACCTATCAACAAGAATGGCCAGAGGACCACAAGGTATAAGAATGTTCAGCTTTTTGGATAAGAACACGAGTTTAATGCTGGATAACACCCTACTCAGAACACAATTACAGCTGAGGTCATCAGAATTTGTATAAAAGTACGATCTGCGAGGAGAAGCATCCAGAGATGCTGGCTTCATGTTAACACGCCCTGGGCTGACAAGGCTCTCATCCTGGAGCTCAAGTACAGCTCTTCCATCTAATGATCCCATCTGTTGAAACAAATGTTCGTTCATTAGAATATATAATAATCATGGAAGGTGAAATACATCACAAGCAATATGAGCAGCTACATCAACTTTGCAGCTACCTAATCCATCCTTATTTTTAAAATTACACATTGGAGTTTATCCATACTAGATGCTAACAGGAATATGCATTTTAAGGAAAAAGGGTAAAGGGGAAACCTTTTTGTGGAAAATCCGAAATAAAATAGTATCGGAATGGAAAAAGACATGGAGTACCATTTTTTAAAGGAAAAAGGGTATATAAATTTGATTGAGTGTTAAGTGGCAAAATTGGAGCGATGTGCCATAAGATAATACCAAAATGTCACCTTATATAAAGACTTGAGGTTCCGCTGTAAAACAAGGAGTGCCAGTAACTTGCATTCTAATTATTGGGTTGACCAAAGATGATAATGATGACATCCACTCTAAAAGAAAACTGCTTTCATTCAATAATTTAAAAAATATATCTATCAAAATGGAACCCCCGCCCAACCCATCAGCCATTTACTCGAATCACAATTGCTTCTAAATTACCAAATGATGAAAAATATTAAAGAGGGAATGTATATGTTTTGATGTCTTTCGTGCAATTTCATATTCATCCTTTAAAGCTTTAAATTGAACCATCCGAAAAATAATTAGTTAATTACAACAGACAGTATCCGGCATTTCATTCTATAGAACTTCAAATTAAACCATCTAGAAAAAAATATACATAAAGAAGAGATCATACACTCACCTCAATGTGTGGATTCGGCCCAAGAAAGGTCGAATCTTTGTAGTGATCGGCCATATACTAATGATAATAATGCTTTTGTTCTGGTGCAAAAACACAAATTCGTCCATCTCCAACCATGGGCATAAGCATAACTTATGGAAAACAAAATCCCAACGCGACAAAAGAATAAACAATAATGTGAATTATCCTTAGAGATCAGAGACGAAATGGAAATCGAAATTGCACCTAGGGTGACAAATTGAAAGCTAGCGGGTCTTTGATTGCCGATCCCTTTTTCCTTTGCTTCTAATATTGCGCGGGTTTTGCGGTGAGAATGGGGGGATGGAGAGCGAGTGGCGGTTTGTGCTGGCGCCTGGCGGGGCGTCCTACGCTGGGTGCAATTTTTTGTGTGGCTTTCTCTATTTAATCATTTATTATTAAATATTACTCCCTTCGTCCATGTATGATCTTCCCATTACGCGTTACGAAGCTTTACCAAATTTATTTTCAATTCAATTTAATTGATTATAGGAGTAAAATTTTAAAATAAAATTTATATAGTAATAAACTACATGAAAAGTTCTACAAAACTAGAGGTGACGAGAATATATTATTTTATGAAATGACTAGTGAAATTGAGTAAACAAAGTGAGTAAAGTTTGACTCTGTGAATAGTGACTGGGAAGATCTATGGTGGACAGAAGGAGTATCTTGATAGTCCTTTCTTTTATAAGTACTTTTTCACAAATATTTTTTTTTGATCTTCCACAAATAATTATTTTTGAATGTTAAAAGTGTAATTTCATAATGATAATATATCTTTCTTGTCATACCCATTTCTAAATGTCGCTTCTGATGCATCGTTTGTGAATTACAGTCATTTTATACTACAACCATAGTCTAGAAATATGGTCTTTCATCAGAAATTAGCCCACAATCATAATCATTATTTTTGTGTTATCTGTCTAACCAATATCAGAATACATCACTGGACATAGGGTTAATGTCAAATTATATTTCTAGCCATAGTTTTCAGAACAGGACCGGTCGGTGATAGAACTGATCAAGGTGCTGGTTCACTGGTTTACTGGTCGAACCAAAGATCGTAATGACTTCAAGTTAGCATGAAGAGATAGTGCAGAATTATGAATCAAAGTGTGTAGGTTAGCATATCAAAGATCGTAATGACTTCAAATTTAAGAATAGTTATACCAATGGTCGAATGAGAATACTACTAACACATTAAAATATTACTCATGTAGTATTCTCATGGTGGGTGAATCTAGTACCATATCTTCAAATATGCACTTACGTATAGATTAAGATATCACTATATCCAAAGCCTATGAGACGCAGCTATCTTATCTCATACGTATTAGTTTTAATATATTGTGACATCCGTATTATCATAATATTCGACTAAGTACATTTTAGACATACCCTCTATAAATGTAACAGCTTCATAATCAGAACATCGTAGTTCTAATATATGCTACAAGAGCGCTAAATCTATGGGCTAAAGCTATGTTTAAATACACGAGATGCATAAGCAATCTTTAGGGCCTTTTATTCTGGATAAATATTCAGATACATAAATATAGATTGGCATGTAGGGCTCACATATTCAACACCTTCTAAGAGTCTAGTGGTGATAGATGAGGAGATAGTGCAGACCCGGTCTAGGGTCCCAGCCCAGAAGTGTGTGGGACCGGTGGCTCCATAGTTGGGAGATATCTAGGATCTACGGCAACAGATCTAGGACATGAAGCGCAAGGTCAACTGTGGATGGATTTTTACCACTCGCACCAACGCCCCCTTTGCTCTGAAAGTGTTTGCACAACCATACTCGGCGGGCTTCAATGTTCTTTTCATCAAAAGGCACAATAGATAGTCTAACCCCAATAGCACATAAGTAGTTACGTGCAGGTCATGATAGTAGTAGATGCAACGGACGCTTTGATGTGTCGGTGTTTTCTCCAAACGCTGGTGATAAGTCCTTTTTTGGTCTTATTTTATATCTCATATTTTAACATTATTGTGAATAAATAAAAATAAATCAAGAAATTTAAATAATTTTTCATGTTAAAAAATTTGTTTTACAAAAATGTTAATAAAAAGATTGTTCAAAATTAAATTTAGTTTTTCCAAGCATATCATGGTAAAATTAGAATAAAAATCTTTCAAATTGAAGATCACAAGTCAAGAAGAGACTAAATTAGGCTTTGGAACAAAAAGATTGAAACGAAATGGCAAAAATGTAAAATTTGGGCAAAATCACGATCCAGGATTCCGAGAGGCTGTTGGAATGCATGAGTTCAACCCTTTCTGTGTTGTTAAGTGTTTACTCACAGGTTTTGGTAATTGACAAATTCAATTTATTCAAGTCAAGATCAAAATTCTACAACGACAAACACGAAGACTTGAAGTGCAAATTCCTTGAATAAAAAAGATGCACAGGATTTTATTGGAGTCCGAGACGCGTTCGGAGCGCCTAACAAAGGACTCGGAGGAGTAGAAGATTTCAAAGACCTTTTTATTTATTTGAGTCTTAGGAATAATTGTAAGGATGAAAAAAAATATCTTCCCTCCAGAATTGTTTTTATGAGAGTTAATATAAAAATAATACTGTACATTTTTGGAGTCAGTTGAAAAATCCTTTTTTTAATTGTTCAAAAATGTTTTAATTGAGTATGTTATAAAAGGTGTGTCAAACATTTATCAAAATATTTATTTTGATATTAGAAAGTATTTTTGGTAAGAAAAAATATTTTATTCAAATATTTTTCTTATACATTGTTTGACACACAAAATAATTTTTGGGACTCAATTTCTACACCCCAATTATCCATAAATATTCAAAATTTGAATATTGAGATAATCGAGGTGATTGGAGCATTAAATCATCATGTGGATATGTGGGAAACAAAAAGATATTGATAAAAAATATTTATCCCCGTGCACATGCATGTTTTTATCCTGTCTCTGCATTTTTCGGTATAGAAATCGATTTTTTATTTTTGCAAAAATCGAGGCTCTGGATGAATTTTATGGAGAAAAATTAAAAATCGATTCTTTGATTAAAATAATCAATTTTTATATTTTTTTCATATTTCAGCTCTTTCCTAGACGCCGGAGAGGCGTGCACCCCAACCCTAGGCACACACCTGGACCTTCGACACACTATAAATACCTCGCGTCCCAGCCATTTCAATCCATCCTCAATTCAATCTTCTCTCTCTTTCTCTCTTTAAAATTTCTTAAAAAAGGGGCGAAAATTTTTCAAGTTTTAGCTTTCGTTTATTTTGAAGTTTCAAATCCAGATCTATTTAATTTTGCTTTTCTAGAAGTAATTTTTTGTAATAAATTTATAAAAATGTTCTGCTATTCAATTTGTATACTTTTTATTGTTGTCATGTCTATTTAAATACTTTAGGAATGTGAATTAAAATAGGGTAGTAGGTATGTGGGAAAAATAATTATGTTGGAATATTAAATTTAATTAATTAAAAATGATAAGTTGCTACTAATTGTGGTAATGTTCTAATTAATTAAACTGGCCAATTTGTTAATTAATCTTTAAAGAATTAATATATTCATTTGTCTATGAATGAAAACAATAATTTAGTCAACCAATGCTAGCACAATAATTAAGCCTAGAGATATGATAAAATTAATGAAGTAGTTGTGATAAAACTTCTCACTAGTCAAATTAATTAGTTAATTTAATACTCCAACTAGTTAAATTATCTGAAAATTACCTACTACGTGAAACCAATTCATATTCTCTTTTCGAAAACCAAAATTTTCGAAATTAGAAAACTTTCGATACAAATTATTAAGCTTGGTCTAACTAGTTTTTAATAAAAAAATTATTACATGTCAATCCTTGTTAATACGACACAGGAATAAATAGAACTCTTTTAGAGGGAAATTTACTACCATTAAAACTCTTTCGTCAAATGGAGCCATAGCCAGAGATTGGTGCGTAAATTTTTTTGTTAAAAAATTATTTAGTTAGCCTAGAAGAAAATTGGTTAGGGCTATTTTCTAGCATCCTTTCTTCTGCATGTCTCTCCTCATTTAAGGTTTGTATTTAGGTAGCTTTACATGTTCTTTTTTATAATGGCAAAATGGGGAGCTTTAGGTGATACACATTTAGTAAGGGGGGATGTTTCTACTTTCTTGTATCCTTTATGTGTTGAGACGATATAACATGATTTTAAGGAGAAATTGTTAGACCTCGTATACAAATTATTAATAAGTGCATAAGTACTGATGACAAAGAATGTGTGCTTGAAGTGAAGATTGTTCTAATGATACAAAGACAAGAAAAGAAATGTTCAAGAGTTCAAGATCAAAGACACCAAGATGTACGTCATTAGGTAAAACTCAATGTAAGAGCAATGTTGAATTTATCTTGTTTTTTACTCAACTTAAGTTATTTTTCATATGCATAAAACTATGGTTTTCAAACTTGCATTTGGTAGAAAATCACTTCTCAAATGAACCAAGACTTGACTTTTGGCTTATGAGTTGTGGATTGCCACATGGATTTTGACTTTGAACTAGGACCATCAGCTTTTGAGTTTTTCCCTCAGCCCACGGTTTTTTGTTTTTGGTCCATGTTCATGATTTTTTATTTTAGACAAATGATTTTTTGTTTTTCAACTCTTTTTCTTTTGGCTTCTCAAAGCCATTTTTCCCATTTTCTAGTGTTTGGACAAATAGAAAAACGCAGGTCAAATGAAAATAAAATGTAGTCAATTGGAAAATGAAGGAGCAAATACGGAATTTGACTTCCACTTCAAAACTCCGGAAGATATTTTCCGGATGCCTGAGCGCTCTCTCTGATCTACAATTCTTCGCAAAGCTCTTTGTCTCTGCTCTCCTCTCTATCTATATCAGTCACTCTCCTCTCTCTCTCTCTCTCATCACTATCCCTTTACCGCACTTTGGAAAATTGTGTTTTGTAGCTGAGGAGTGATTTACACACAATCCTGGGCACAAGGTTGATTGAATTTTGTGTCCAGTGCACAATGACTCCCGGAAGTTAACTCATTTTCCAGAAGTCATTTTTCAAAAGTCGTTTCCCCCCTTTTCAAACGGATCCTTAATTACTTTTTATATATATTTAACAATAATATTAATAAAAAAAATTAAATATGTACTACTTTTGAAAAAATATAATATAAATATGTGATAAAATTAAAAACTTGTTTAAAAATATAAGTTTATAAACTAAAAATGAGTGATAAGAAAAAAAATTAAAACATAACTTAATTTTAATACATCAATTTTCATACTATAGTACATGATCTTGAAAAACTCTCGCGTTAGCGTCTCGTTCAGGTCGGATTCAGTTTTGGTCGGGTTTGACGAATATTGAACGGGTCATTTCGAGTTCGATCATCTTCGGATTCGGTCAAAAAAGTATTTGTTCAAAACTCAGTATTTTCAGGTAGAATTTCGGGTAGAAAACAAGTCGGGTCAATTTTTATCCACTGAGACTGTACCAATCCGTCTCTATGAGAGAATGCAACTAGAAACAATCGATCTGTACTTCCTAATTTCGTACTTCCTTCGTCTCAAATTGTTTGTTATATTTCGAAGAACGTGCAAAATATTATTCTTTCTAAAAAAAAATCTATTTACAAATTGATAAAGAAATAAAAAATAAAAATTAAACCTTTTTTCTGGTCAGCCTGTCAAGTTTTCGGTGTCCCCTCAGCAAAGCAAAAGTCTAAAGACATATGGCAACTGCCAATTTTCTGGGTCAGGGTCTCGATTTTTCTCTTATGTTCCATAGAACAAAACCTATTTGAAGTTTAATCTTAATTTTCTTACCAATCGCTCTCAATTATTTCAGGTAATCAGTGTTAAGCTTAGAATACAAGCAGATCCATGGCAGTCTCCGTCTCTGTCTCTGAATCCTTAAGGTCAGTTCTGAAAGGTTCCCCTTGTGACGTAGGCCAAGAAGAATATCGCGTTGTTCACTTAGCAAGAAAGGGTGATAATAAATGGGATAAGCTGCCCGTGGACCAGATCTACAAGGAACCATTGCTCTCTGGGCTTAACTTTCTGAGTAACTACAAAATTAAGTCAGTAAAGGAAGAATTTCATTTTACAGACAAACAACATGATGTTTATTTGCTAACCAGAGAAGATATAAGAAGGCACAAGAAAAAGTATGACTTTTTGCACATTGGACTTGTGCAAGCTCTTGTTTTTCCATTTCATTCAGCAGGTATTGATCACAGAATCATGGCGTGCCTGCGAGACGCGAAGCACCCAAACATGGAAAACTCAATCTTAGCAGCTTTTGAGATCAACTTGTCTTATGGTGACATGGAGTTCAATTGGTTCCCCAATTTCTCAGTCTCTTTGTCTGACCTATTGAACTCAAATGGGTTGGTCATAACTGTGGAGCCAAATGACATTGGGTGTCTTGACGGTACCATTACGTTTGGGATTTCCTACAGAATGTGTTACAAACTGATGAAGGGGTGTCTTCAAAAGTCTTGACGGTACCATTACGTATTGTTTAAAATTAGTCCATTTTTACGGAGTTAACTGGCCATTAATCTCCAATTATTCGGGACAAATTTTAAACGGAGCGTAGCGTAACGGACGTGTTAATGGCTAATTAATCACCATTAACACACCACTAATGCCATGATTAATTCAATGGGTTAATGGTGTAGGAGTTGTAACTTTTTAAACTCCTTTATTATAAAAATCAAAGGCTCTCTCATTTGTTTGGTGTGTGCCTTGCGTGAGGAAAAGAGGAAAAAGAGAAAACACTTTATTATTTTCTTTTAGAGAGAGCTCTTGATTTTCCGGCCAATTTTTCCGGCAACCCTTTTAAAGTTTTTGGTCGCCAACGTTCCTACGTTGTTCTTGTTCGTTGGTGTGTGGTTGGTCCGTACAATCTCCACACACGATAGCGGTTTTATCCTGGGAGGAGAGTGCCCACGTTTTTCCGGTACGGTAGGCGGGCACTACTACCTTAAGATTGTTACAATTTTTGTACGGATTACAACGGACGGGGAAGATGAACGGCCCCGGTAATAAAAATAAATAAAATTCTGAATTTATAATTGTGTAAGTTACACTTTTCAATTTCTTAGTTATAAAATCAAATCAAGAGAGCATCCATACGTGGGAAGTAAAAGAGGAGAAGGAAAAAGTTAACAATTTTGTCCTTGTTTAACTTTGAGGAGAGCTCTTGGTTTTCTTGCCAATTTTTTCCGGCAATCCCCTTCAAAGTTTTTTTTTGGTCGCCAACGCTCCTACGTTGTTCTTATTCCTTGGTGTGTGGTTGGTCCGTACAATCTCCACACACGATAGCGGTTTTATCCTGGGAGGAGAGTGCCCACGTTTTTCCGGTACGGTAGGCGGGCACTACTACCTTAAGGACAGCTCCGGCGACTCCGCTGTCCTTCACGGTGTTTTGTTTTGCAGGTTTAGTTCATAAAGACCTCGCTGCATTCTGCCCTAGTGCATAATGTCCTCGCAGCTCAGTGCATAATGTCCTTGCTGTCCAGTGCATAATGTCATCGATGTCCAGTGCTTAATGTCCTCATACAACAAGGCTGTTTGAAGATATATATAAATTTATTTTCAATTCTGTTTATCTTGTAATATTCTGAATAAGTTATAAATTCAGAATTTTATTTATTTTTTATTTTACGAGGCCGTTCATCTTCCCCGTCCGTTGTAATCCGTACAAAAATTGTAACATCTTTATCTATGCATTATTATCTTTTGCACACCTTTGATTATGATGTAGTCAGTCTGGTTTCAGAGTTTAATGTTTGGTTTTCATAGGTTTTTTGTGTGTTTATGGGGTTCTCATTGAATGCTTTTGATGAAGAATGTGTACGTAGATTAAGTCCATCTGGTTTTGGGGTTTATTGTTTAGTTTTTTCCATGCTTTTGTACGCAAGTATTGGTGTTGGAAAATTTAAGCCAAACGGACTTACAGGAAGACAATTTTAATTCTATATATCAATGTGATCCAATAACGGGTTGGACCCTTAAGAAATTGATATGCTCCGTGTTATACATCTATATGTCAAAAATGGTTAATAAGTGAATGAAAAATGAAAAATTTATATATAAAGTTAACTATTGAGTGGTAATTAATGTTAATGACTTAAGTTTTCTAAAGAAATGTGATGTTTTCCCCCATTGGAAATAAACTTATTAAATTCTTGGAAACAATCTGACCCTTCTCCATCTGTTTATTATCATCTGATTCCATTGTTATTTACCATTAGATTGTATTTCATTGGCAAATTTATAAATCCGATTTAGACAAGTATAGTATTCTGCATTTACGAACTAACACACCCCACAAACAACAAATGGATCTCTTGATAATTTTCCTTCAAAAGTCTGTTACTTTATCACCAAAAGTCTGTAATGCCAACATGTTTTACTAGGATGTCCCAGAATTAGATTTACAATATGATTCTTAACAAGTGTTATTGGTGTATATCCTATGAACGGTCGCCAACTAATGATGTTTTGGAGCTTTGTATTCCTCACTTGTGTAGGAGATTACTTGTTCCCAGTTGGGTGTTTGTGCTGAATCGTTCACTAATTGTGGGTGCTATGTTGGTTGGTTAAATGTGCTTGTAGTTGCGAGTCGGATTCTGCAGGTGAACCTATTATGTACTCCGTATGATATTTTGTGTGGTTTAATTACATGATATTTTATGTGGTTTAATACCATGAATAAATGGCATATTGGGAGTATGTATCAAAATAGCATAATTTTCACATCTATGTTGGTACATTCACTAGGAGTACTATAAATACTGATGCATACTACTACATACATTGATGGTGAGAATTGAGTACTTTATGCAATTTATCATGTTTTTGGTTGGAGGAAAAAATTTTCCAGCAAAATTTTGATTTTATTTTCCTCTGTTTGGTAATATTAGTGGAAGAAACATATTTTTCAAAGAAAATAGTTTCTCCCAATGGAAGAAAATGATTTACATTTGATTTCGAAAGAAAATTTTTATACTATGTCTGTTCCGTCTCCCACGCACACCTCCCACCCCCATCCCCTTTCCCTCTCANCCCTCTCACCCCACCCCCTATCGCCCCTACCCCCACCCTACCACCGGCCACCCCTACCTCGACCCCACATATGCTACCACCCGCATCCACCACCACTCCACTCCTCAACCTCCTACCCTCCCGCTGGCCATAGCCACCCCTCCTCAGCTACCCCGCAAATCATCCTAGCCTCATCCTCACCCTCAGCCCACCCATCCCAGCACCCTATCTCCCACTCATTGTCCCTCATCACTTGTTGCCCACCCATGAACCTAGTTCACCCAGCCCTGCGCCCTCTCCACCTTGTGCGCCCCTCTATGGTATTAAAATATTGTCAAATTTTTTCAAAACATCTTTTTCAATATTTCCTCGATTTAAATTTAATCTTCTCATTTTGACTTTTTTTGGTGAGAATGTGTAAACTTTGACTTCGATATGTAGAGAAAATATATAATATTTTGATATAAATGTGATATCAATAATTTTATTTGAAATTTAGTTTTGAAATATTTAAATTTTATGAAATATATTTATGTATAAATAATGATATTAACTGTCACAGTGTAACATCAGATATGGTAAAAAGTCCAATGGGAAGATTAAATCAAGATGAAGGATGTATTAGTTTTCAAATATTAACAATAGAAACTATTTTTTTAAGAAAACATTTTCTTTTCTACAAAAAAATTGGAAAATATGTGTGGAAAATAATTTTCTTTGAAATTCATTTTCTCTTGAAAAAATATTTTTCTTCCAACCAAGCATAATCTTTTGGTCATGCATTCCTGTTTCATTCTTTTGTAGCTTGGACTACTAAACTTGGATATTTTTGCACACATATGACATGTTGGATTTAATTATTTTTTTTAATTCGGTAGAAACATACTCCTATATTTCCAAATAATTCTTCCACCTAATTTTCACCTTTGTAAATTTACAAAGTAAACTATTTTCCATTCTCCCAAGTCAGATTTGGAAAGAACACAAACCATATAAAACATCATTTATTTTGTCTTCAATTAATGCTTGTAGGTTAGCTCTCGTGGGACAATAACTTTATGTGCTTTAATAAATAGAAAATGAATGAACATATATATTTGGCTACACAAGTTCAATTGAGACACCTACCGTTCTCCATTTGTAAAATTGATAGCTTTTACTCATCTAACCCCCTAAATCCCCACCCTTACCCGTTGCCCCATGCTTCCACCTCTACCCCATTGCTTCATCTCGTAGTAGTGTACTATTAGGAGAAGGATTGATGATGAGGTGGCGTGAGGGTTTAGCAGTGGTTAGCAGTTAGGAACAATTAATTTTACAACTAGGACACAGTAGATGCAGAGGTGATCTAAATAAACTGGTGTTGGAATTTTACACCAATAACTCGTGTCAAAATATACTTACTCATATTTAAAAATTATATTCAAAGATCTATTGAACAAAATATGATAATAGTTTTTTTATCAAATGGGTGAAGAATTGAAGATAAAAAAAGAAAACAAATAAAGTTTAACACTACTATAATGCTACCTGTAGCACTCTACCATCGGTCACTCCAAATTAGCAGCTACTCAGCACCACATCATCATTGACATCACTCACTATCTCACTTACTTCATACCTATAGTGCCTCACATCAACTGCAATGATTACACATTTGTTTTTTAAATATTTATTAATTTCTATTCAAATTAAATTATACTCCCTCCGTCCACAAATAAAGTTCTCATTGCGCATTACGATGTTTGACTGAAATTAATTTCAAATCATTTTATATGAAATATGGTATGGAATTAAAAATTAAAAATTACATATTTAAAAACTACATGAAAAAATCTACAAAACTAGAGGTGACATGACTATATTATTTTATCAAATAAGACACAAAAATAGGCCAACAAAGTGAATAAAGTTTGACCCTGTGAATAGTGAACGAGAACTTTATTTGTGGACGGAGGGAGTATCTTCTATAAAATAATAATATTAATCAATAAACATTTGTTTTTGGATTTATTCTTTTTTATTTTGTTATTTATTTTTTTCCAATTTTGGATTAATTGTTATTTTTTGGTTTCTATATTTTAACAACTAAACACCCAAAAAACAATTAATTTAAAAACTCATAAATTACATAAATTAAAAAGTACCCTAGATAAATAAATAAAAAAACATGAAGTACATGAAAGAAAAACATAATTCATGTAACTATGGGTGAGCATGGTACGGTATGATACGGTATCTTGTTCGTGCCGATACCATACCAAATATTTTGATTCGGTATGGGAATTTACATCGTACCGATCTCAATCCCAAAGTATCAGTTCAGGAAGGTTCAGGATGGTTCGGTTTCGATAAATGTTGGGTTGAATATATATATATATATATATATATATATATATATATATATATATATATATATATATGTATGTATGTATGTATGTATGTATGTATGTATGTATGTATGTATGTATATAGAGTTTGGTTCAAATAAGAATGAAATCTAACGAATGAAATAAGAACAAATTATGGCCGTTTGATCTTGATCCCAAATCATTCTTTCGCGTATTTTATGTATGGGCACCATTGTCTTTTTGCTTAGAATCTAATCTCTCTCTTCCGGAAGATCATCGCATGTTGAGCCTTCAATTCTATCTCTCCCTATGGTTCCGATCGAATCTCTCGCTCCCATCTGTGTTTTTTTATCTTCATCCCCTAAGTGGATTCGATTTTTCCTTTAGTCTCTTTAGATGTGTTCTTGTCATTTATCATCCTCTTACTTTTTACCTACAATTTTTGTGAGACTTGTTCGTCATCATCCTGGGAATGCATCAGTGTTTGGATGGATTCAGGTATTATAATCTCAGCCATTCATCCCAATTTTTCTTGTATGTATAAATTCCCTTATTTCTCAATTTGTTGTTCCAATCGCTTTATTGAATGATTGGATCTTCATGTTCGGCATACTAATCAATTATCAATTTGGCGTTCCACTCTTCATGTTTTGATTCATGTTTCAATTTTCTCATTCTTTTTTCTAAACATGATGTTTTGTTTTTTTGTTCATGTGAATGTTGGAATAGCTTAGATATTTTTTCTTGTTTTCTTTTCTGTTATGGTAGTTACGGTTGTTAGTTTGTTTCTCTCTCCCTTTAAATACTTCTCCTGTACTCTTTTCTTCTCAAGCAAGTTAATGTGAAAATATCTTCTCTTCATTTCTTTCTTTACGTCCATGGAGAAATCCTCAAACTCCAAGATGGTATCAGAGCACCTCAGATTCAATCGCTGATCTTGTTCATCATCTTCTCAGATTCTTCAATCGCGGAGTCTGTTCATCATCTTCGCAAACTAAGATTCTTCATCTCATATTTCTTCATCTTTCATCTGAGATTCTGCAATTTCATTCGTAAATCATCATGGCATCGAACACCAGCAATTCATCTACTACGATTGATCCTTCTGATCCTTACTACCTTCA